GTAATAATTTAAAGGGTGCAAATCTACAAAATGGAGACGCACATTGATAATGTCCTCTTGATTATTATTAAAGAATGACTCTAGCTTCACAAATTTAAATTCATTAATGCTTAATTACATGATAAGAACTTTAGTTGTTCTTTTTACAAGGTTTGCTAACTTTAATTTTTTTCCCATATTCTTCATTTATTTATCATTATTTTCTAATTACTTATTTAACTTTTATACTCTTAATATTAATAACTCTCATCTATTCATATTCATAACCTCCAAACATTTAAACTAAAACTTTAAGATATCTTTTGATATTCCTTCTATTCTATTTATATCAATTCAACTTCTTTATTTCATGAAACCCCTATCAAGATTATTAGGCTATTATTTTTATTCTATAATAAAAATTGATGATGAAGACTCTTGAATTTTGATAGGATATGAAAGGAGTCGATAAAAACTAAGAGAGTTATGTACTAATTTTGTACTTATATTTTCATCTATATATACATCAATCTTATAAGGGCCCATTTGGATGGAGTTAATAAAAGCAGCTTTAAAAAAGTACTTTTGAATGTGCTAAAACTTATTTTTAAAATAAGCAATTATGCGTTTGGATAAAAGTGCTGAAGTTGCTATGTCAAACGTGAAAAGGGAAAAATGGAAGAAAGAGATGTTAGGGTTATGTGCGTTATTTGGAGATTGTATAAAAATATTAAGGGCAAAAAGATAAAAATGTGGTCAACTTAAAACAGCTTATAAGCTAAAAAAAAAAGCATCCCTACCACAACTTTTAACTTTTGGCTTAAAATAAGTTTATTTAAACTTAAAACAAGTTATTTTGAGTATTGCCAAACATGTAAATAAGTCAAAAACCAGCTTTTAAGTCAGTTTGACCAGCTTTTAAGCTGAGCCAAACATACTCTAAGAATAATGTCTATATTGTATTTTTTCTTAAATATTCAGTTTCTTTTTGTCGTTTTTTTCACTCTTTTAGACTTCTTAATTTAGTTTTCTATGAATGTTTTATTGCCGTAAGTCTTTGAATTTTGTAAATGATACATTTTATTATTCATTACAATTTACATATATATTTTCATGAGATTTTAGTCATTCTAACGTATCTATAAAAATTCATATGAAACACACGTGCGAAGCACGTCCTCAGAAACTAGTATACATAATAATACAAACAGAACTTACCAAGAGGACTCATTTCATCTAAACCTTCAGAATGAACAACTAATGCTCTCATCATGCCATAACTTTGTAGTGCTTTGGCCATCTTGCTGACCTACACACGACATGATGATCAGTTTAAACACACGCACACAGAGTCGTATTTTGTTAACGGAAGAAATTAAGCTTACTATATCTTGTTTGTACACTCCAACAACAGCAAAAGGTACCCAAGCAGGGTTGAGCAAAGGCCCTAGGATGTTAAATATAGTCTTCACTCGAAGCTTCCTCCTCACAGGTGTCACTATCCTCATTGCTGGATGGTAGTATGGGGACATCATGAAACCTATCCCAACTTCTTCCACACATTTCTTTACCCCCTATTCCATAGAAAATCTCTCAATTTTTACCTTGTTGGTGAAGGTTCGATTCCTGATTGCGTAAATACTCTTTAGTTGATTACATAAAGTCCCTTTCACTCACCTCAGGATTTAATTCAATGGCGACTCCAAGGGCTTCCAAAACATCAGCACTTCCACAAGCAGAAGAACTGGATGTATTCCCTTGCTGCATATATAAGTTAGCTCATTAGAACTGAAAAACTCCCAATAAAATGTTATCAATCTAACCTTTGCAACTTTAGCACCACAAGCTGCAGCAAGAATAGCTGCTCCCGTAGAAATATTCACCGTATTGGCACCATCACCGCCCGTTCCAACAATGTCTACAGAGTCATTCAGGCCTTCAACCTTTCTGCAACATTTGATCATCGATCTTGCTAGACCTACAACCTACATTTATTATGCATGAAAAAGTGAGAGATTTACTCATTCTACATACAATTGATGACATATTAAACACATATGTACTTCTCGAAAGGTTTCTCCTTTAGCCCTTAAGAGAACAAGAAAAGCACTAATGAGTGCTTCACTGCCATCTTTTAGCATGAAATCTAGTGAGGCCTCTGCTTCTGCTTCATTCAAGTCCTCCTTTTTCAACAACCGCTCCATCAACTGCAAAAAGTTAAAAAAAGAAGAAACAACAACCCTGTACATCAGCTGAACTAAGTATATAATGAACCAAAGATACTTGGTCTAATAAGCAAATTGGTATTGATAGGATCTCTAGCAGAACAGATGGAGGTTTTGGAAATTATGAGTGGATGTTACAATGGGGACAGGTTATAGAAAGTGATAGAAAGTTTCATTTGTGTTGCTCAAGCAAGATTGATACCTGGAAACAAAATAGTCTATAACATCATACTTGCTCATGACCTAATCAAGGAGTATGGCAGAAAACAGGCTTACCCATGATGCATGATAAAGGTTGATCTCCAAAAAGCATATGATTCAGTCGAATGAATCTTCCTCAACTATGTAATGGAAGGTTTGGGATTACCAAACAGGTTTATCTCTTGGATTATGGAGTCTTTGCAATCAGTAAATTATACAATCATGAATCATGATCAATGGAGAAAGAACCAGTCCATTTGGTGCTGCAAAAGGTCCGAGACAAGGAGATCCCATCTCTCATTATCGTTTTTCCGTTGCAATGGAATGCCTAAGTAGGAAGCTAAATGTTCTCAATCATGTGAGAGGGTTCAGCTATCATCCAAGATGTGCTAAACTTAATATTACTCATTTGAGCTTCATAGATGATCTACTATTGTTCTTGAAAGGTGATTTTAACACAGTAGCAGCCTTGTATAGTGCATTTTGTCAGTTCTCTACAGCATCGAGATCAAAAGCAATCTTAGAGAAAAGTTCTATCTATTTTGGGGGAGTGACACAAGTAGTAAAATAGAATTGTGCAACACTTTGGAGTGGCAGCAGAAGAATTACCATTCAAAAACCTTGGTGTCCCTCTATCCACAGAAAAAATCTCTTTCATCCAGTGGCAACCATTAAAAGAGAAGATAGTGAGCAAAATCACCTCCTCAACAGCCTAAAATCTCTCTTATGCTGGGAGAACACAACTTATAACGTCAGTGATATTTGGAGTTCAATCTTATTGGTCTCAATTATCACAGATGCCAACTAAAGTACTTGATTTGATTGAAGCCTACTTTCGGAGCTTTGTATGGTCTGTTACTAATAAAATTACAAAGAAAGCTCTCGTTTCGTAGGAGAAGGTGTGTGTACCTAGAGCTAGTGGTGGACTGGATCTCATAAAAATGGTCATCTGGAACAAAGTTGTTATCACCAAGACCTATTGGGATCTTACTCATAAAGATGATAAATTATGGATCAAATGGATCAATGAATACAACACAAAGGACAAATGATTGAAGATCTTAGTATTCCCTCTCAGGCATGTTGGATCATCAGAAAGATTTAGAAGCTAGGGAGGTTGTAGCATAGGTGCAACTAACCATCTCTGTCGAAAGTATTATTAAGCAGATTTATTTTCATTATCCTAAGGTGACATGGAAATGCCTAATGTTAAAAATGTTTCTATATCTAAACATCAGTTTAATATGGGTTCATGTACATGGAAAGTTGCTTACTACTGCTCGATTAGCAAAATGGAGGATTGACGTGCAACCAGATTGTGTTTTCTTCCGAAACTCCCGTGAATCTAGAGATCATGAATGTACCTTTTCTAGGCAGCTGCGGAGTAGAATCCTATTATGGTTGCAGACACCTATTATCCAAGACACAACATGGGAACAACACATGGAATGGGTGATAAAGAATGCAAACGGAAGAATGGTGACAGATCGGGTCTTTAAAATCCTATACACCCTGAATGTGTCTATGACATATGGTTAGAGCGGAACCAGCGAGTCTTTGAGAAGAAAGCCAGAGATTATGAAGTCATTTCCAGGAAGATAGCATATATGTTAGAAGGGAGGTTCAGATGGTTCAGATGAAGAGAAGGTATGAGAAGCGAGATTCAGATGGTTTGAGCCTGTGATGAGGAGAACACAGATGCCTTAGTGTGTAGGTGTGAGAGGTGGCCTATGGATGGATTCAGGAGAAGCAGAGGTAGACCGAATAAGTATTTGGGAGAGGTTATTAGACATGACATAGCGTAGTTGGAGCTTACAAAGGACATGACCTTACATAGGAAGGTTTGGAAGACAAGAATAAGGGTAAAAGGTTAATTAGTAGGTAGGAGTGTATTGTCTTGTTGTCCTTTCTAGTAGTCATATAGTACTACTCTTGTAGCTTCTTGTTCTTCGAATCATGTTATTATCTATTGCTTCGTGTCGTTCGATTATTGAAATATTATTGTAGTATTGTTCTACTACCACTATTGTTTTTGTCATTATCTATTTTCTCTTGTATTTCCGATACGACTTTTTCTTAAATGTTTTGCCTTGAGCGAAGGGCTATCGGAAACAACCTCTCTGCCTCATCTCAGAGGCGAGGTAAGCTATGTGTACTCTCTATCTTCCCAAGAGTCAACATCTCACTCAATAGAACTACACTGGATATGTTATTGTTTGTAATTAACGATAAAATGTATCCATATCAAGATGAATCTATGGTTATATTGATAAAGTTTGTGATCTTACAGTATATTAAGGTTTAGTTACTAATAACATCACTAAATCAGTCTCATTTTACTAATATAGTGGGTGTAACTCTTTTAGGCAAGGGCAGTCAGTCTACATATTGTTTACTGCACCAAAGTTGAAAAGCTAATTAGTATGTACTAAACAATTTTTTGTATCAAAAAGAAAAAACTTTGTTCTATAAGTATTACTTTTTGTGTTTCCCCCTATTGATATATGCTTAGTTAAATTGACGAATCATTTCAATGTAAGAAAAAGATATATAGTTTGGTAAATACTTAGATTAATATGAAAGTACGTATGATTATGAAATGCTAACCTGTTGAGATGATAAAATGGGAAGGTGCAATGAAGACTGAGAATGAGGCAAATGCAAATCATTATCTAAACAATTCAATCTCCTTTTTTGAGTTTGGAAATGGGAAATTTTGCAGGAAAAAACAATGGGATTGAGGGTTACTCCAAACACAGACATTGTTATTGTTAGTAAAGGGGATGTAAGACTCGAGTATACTTTATTTATTTGGTGTAAGTAACCCATAAATGCATTTGGATACCACTACCAACTACCCAAAAATTATGAAATCAATTCAATGTACCTCTTACTTAATTGCTCACCTAATTAAAACCATCCAATTTTTGTTTTTGTTTTTGTTTTATGTTACTAGTAATTTTATTTGTTTAAAACAATAGGAAAATTTCTTTTGGCCAGATTATTTGATCACAATGATAAAATAATATATTTCTTACCATGTTATTCCACTTCTTTGTTTATTTATTTTTACCCTTTTAACTTCAGTACCTTTTATTAAAAATGAAAAAATTTTATTTTTTAAAAAAAAAATATTATAGACTTTTTAAAATTTATGGTCATTTTAGCATTATCCAAAACTATATTCTTTTTTCTTCTTTTTTAAAATTCTTTTCATTTTATTTGAAATTAACGTTTGGTTATAAAAATTTGATTAAAATTGAAGTTAGATTCTAAATTTGAAAGAATTTCCCGACATAATTTTGAATAAAATGCTGTCTTCTTTCCTTTTGCAAAGGTGTGTCTAATATAACTCTTACTTTAGATTTTTCAAACAAATAAAATAAAAATTATATCTATGATCAAAAGCTTTTTAAATTTAGAAAATCTATGTTTTTCTGATACTCTAATAATAAAATTATCAAAAAGGTATACTTTTATCAGAACCAATTTTATGATTAAATACTCCTTTCAAACGTAATCTTAACAGAAGAAATTATAACTTCAATCCAAAGGTTATTATAAAACTAAAGTTTTCCAATCATCCATATGGGCTATCACCCATTCAGGCGAAATTTACAGGTGAAATTGGATTTATTCAATTTTTGTGTGGATCAGAAAATAGTTGTTTCAGTCCACAAGTACGTGGGCTACGGACTTAGTCGAGACAACCTTTTTTTCTTAAAAATTTACTTTTTATAATTTTTCAAGTTAAATTATAATTTAAAAATATTATCATAAATATAGACAATACATCATCACATAGTGTTAGTATTACTATTTGCTAATCAAATTCACAAATAAAATTATATTTTTATAATATTTATTACGTTAGATTTCAAGTAAAAACATAAATAGCTAAACAAGAATAGTAACCTAATTGTTTTTAAATGATCATAATAAAACATAAAACTATGACAATATTTCATATGCTACGACATATGTAGTGATAACCTAGAAATTTTATAGAATTTTATTTTATATAGTACATTTGTATTTAAAATTATAATATTTCAAACTTTAAACAGATTTTGAGTTTAGACTCTTGATACTCTATTTTACTTTTATTATTAATTAATTTTTATTTGGCCCACATACCGATCCTATCCATATTCTCAAGCCCCACAAATTGACAAATTTATTCATATTGGGCTAAAAAATTCTTTTCTTAAATGAGCTACAAACATTGTAGTATAGCCCTATCAAAACAAGGATTAGGCCAGTCCAGCCTTACGAGACTAGCTATATTGACGGTAGAAAAAACATGGTCTACATATTTTCTTTCTGGAAAAATTTCTCAAATAGCTACAATACGAAACATAATAGGCCTTTCTTAATTATATTTTGCCTATTTAGGCATCATAACTATAGTTTAAATAACTATCACGTTTCTGATTTGTATAATTCAACCTATTTATAATTAATTATAAAAAAATATGTTTATTTATATGTAACTAATCAAACATTAATTGAGGAATGCCTTAATTAAAGGTTATTTATATTAGTTAGGATATGTTACAAAACTAAGAATTGTCTTTTTGAGGACTATTAATTGTTTTCCTTTTCCTGTATAAAATAGAAACAATTACTTTATTTTTGTGGCTTGACCAACGAAAAACATAAACACAATAATCTATTCATTACGAGTTGTATACTTTCTTTTTACTACATTCAATATATATTTATTTTATATATTTCTTGGTTAATTCGTTTTTAATTTGTATTATTGTGTTATTGACTATGGATATCGATCAAGATGGTATTCTATATGGAGTAGTTGATTTGTTTGAAAATAATTTGTAGATGTATATAATTGGTATAGAATTCCACACTAAGATTATTTGTGATTGATTTTTCGTCTCGATATATAATTGAGCGTTTTTCGATTAGTTGTATCATTTTATATATATTACTGTTTGTTTTGTATATTAAATTAATTTTATACAATTCGATATAAATTTTAATTAAACAAGTGTATAAAATTACAATTTTAAGTACTTGTATCAATTTGTATATATTACTATGTCATTTTTATATTAGATAGATCTCATACAAGTTGTTATATATTTTGAGTCAAAAAAGTTAAAATACTACAGTAATTTTCCATTACTTCTAACCATTTGTTTTGTATATAAGGTAGACTTTACATAAGTTGTTATATATTTTAATTCAACAGGTGAATGTAATTGAATAATTTTCGATTAATTCGATTAGTTAATATATGTTACAATTTATTTTTGTATTTGATAAGTTTTATGCAAGCCGTTATGTATTCTAAGTCAACAAGTTAAATATAATATAGTATTTTGGAGTATTTGTAGCAGTTTATATAAATTACAATGTGATTTGTATATTAGATAGATTTCATCATGCGACTCGTTATATACTTTAAGTTGGCTAGTGCATATAATTTAGTAATTTTCAACTGATTGCATTAGTTTTGAATATATTGCTATTTTGATTTGAATATTAGATAGATTTTATACTAGTCTTGTATAATTTAAGTCATCAAATGAGTATAATTGAATAATTCTTTTATTACTTTTACTAGTTTTGTGAATGTTACAATTTGATTTATATAATAAATAATTATATAATTTAAATATATTTTATGCATTGACGGGGATATATGCATTGTCAACAGTGTCATGGTACAATACCATGTGTTATCATTGATATAAATTAGACCCTATAATAAAGAACAATAATTTAAAGATTTGTATATAAATAACATAACTTAATTATACAAATTGTTGTAGTTGTATATATCAATTGGACTTGTATAACTATAAACAATAACACAACTAGTTATGCATGCATATGCTTGGTGTTAATTATAAAATATATACAATTATTTGAAATTATAATGCATTTATTGTGTCATATATAACTTAAATTAATCATATACAAAAAGGAAAAAAAATAGAAACAGGATTATACCTCAAAATGTCTGCTGCTTGTTGGTTTTTGAGTCATTTTTGCTTGAAGATGCTTTATATATATATATATTTTTTACAGGAATCATCAACTCAGGAGTCATTTAACCCAATAATGGGTTATTTATCAACTTACATCTAATATCCTTTTTTATGTATTTGAATCAAAAGTTTTAGATTTAGCAATAGAATATGTTAATACTTCAAATTTTTGAGTTAAATTCAATGAAAAAGATAAATTCTCAACCAAATTTGTTATATGCAATTGTATATCTCTAGTGATTCTATCTGATGAAGATTTTTCTTCCATAGTTCGACTGATTGTACCAAAGAATTCAAATTTAATTGTGGAACTATGAAAAAAATGGGGAAATCAAAAAAATTATATAAATACAAGAAAATCAAAAACTGTTGAAAGTTAAAAAAAAAATGAAATTACCTTATTTTGCCCAATTGAAAGAGTTAGGAGGGATTGATTATGTGTGGGTCAACTTAAACTTCGAGGCACAATTGAATGTGCTTTTTATATACACAATTTTCAACTATTATGGTTTTGATTATTGAGGTATGCCTAACAACTAGACCCCCACAATGAAGGTTTGATGATCTTTGTTTGGATTCACTAAAGAATTTGCTGACAAAAACGACTCCATATGATTGGAATTAAAGATCAAGCTCCATCATAACCCTTGTTGATCATTTGAATATGTAGAAAATAGTAGAAGAGTTGTATAATCGGTAAACCTTCTATTAGCTCAAGATCGTTAACTAAGATTGGAAGACTCAATTAAGAAAGTGGAAGCTAGAAAGGAAAACTTGTTTATGGAAGAATACTCCTTTATTAGTTTGTTCTTGGGTTACTTGGGTCTTACAAATGTCTAATGTCACCCCTATTTATACTTGTATAGGGATGTTTCTAGAAATTATTCTAGATACTTCTATAAGAAAAATCTAGATACTTTCATCTTCTAACTATCTAAAAAGAATCTAGATATTTCTATAATTTCCTATAAATATCTACTTCTCTAGAATATCTACAGTGTTCCTAGATTCATCAAGTACTTAAGGTACTACTCCATATAAATCTAGAAAGTTCTACTAAATATCTAGGATTATTTGTACCTCCAAAAAATTATCTTTACTTTTTCACACTCCCCCTTAAAGTGATTTTTTTGGAAACTACCCCATTCTTGTAGTGGAAGAGCTCAAACGAAACTTTGAGCAGCGTCTTGTTGAAGATTTCAACAATTTCTTCTGGACTCCTCTTCCTTCTTCAAATGATAAATATTTTTCACTGTCACTTAATCCACATAGATTATCTCCTTGTTGAGTTCTCAAACTCCCCCTTTCTCTCAACTTCACAACAATTATATTATCGAGAGAAAACTATCAATTTCCTGTGAAGTCTCAACACCAACATAGGATCAATGTCATATTCTCTTATTATCTCCTTGATATATTTTTTGGCAGCTTCAGATCTTTCAAAGAGCATATCGTTTGACTCCTAGACTTCTTTCTCTATTTGATCTCTACTTCCTCCATCTTCTTTCAGAATTGCTCCAAGCCATTAATTGGCCTTGATGTTGCAGATGATTGACCAAATACTTCCGCTTCTAATACAAGTTCCTCAATGCTTTCTTTGAAAAGTTCGTCATTAACAAATGTAGTTTTAGATATTGCCTGTTCAAAATCTATTTCCTTGATTTCTTCAATAGTAGCTACCATATCACCACTAGGAGCATCCTCAAAAATTTCTTGCTTCATGCTGACAACATCAAATTCATGTTGCTCCACGTGATTGACTATATTATAT